TTTATATATTAAATAATATATATATATATATGAAATCTAACAAATTAGTGCACATTCCAATAGTTATATTTGTTTTTGCTTTGATCTCAAACTGAATAATATAGTGCTAGCCTCCTAGCATATTAGTAAAGGTTCTAGTTTCTCTTTAATTGAAGAAAAATGTGTTGCAGTATTTGCAATGATGCACCTTACCATGTACACCCCATCTTTTCAAAATGCTAGATCTACCTATACCAAGTCACATTTGTACTAATCATTCTTTTAAAAAACTGAGTGCTTTATTGATTACATTCAAGTGTCCACTGCTCATTGATTTATAGTTTTCAGGCGAAAGAGTAACATAAAAGAAAGACTAGGGAAGCTGGTCATCTAGAACAGTGATTCTCAGCCAGGGTGCCATGGGACCCTGGGGTGATTTGAGATCCTATCAAGGGTGCTGTGAAGTACCATACAATGTTAGCACTGAGGAATGCAAACGGGATTCACAAGATAAACTCAGAGATTTCAAACAGGAATCCATAGTGTTAAATAGCATTCTGCCCTGTTGTGGTCTGAGTTCTTTGCAACAGGAAAACTGCTCTATTATTTTTCTATAGACAAAACGTGAATAAAAACTAAAAGCTAGCATCTTCTTAGGGGTGCCTCAAATCTAATAAGGTTGGGAATCCTTGGTCTAGGATCAGCTGAGCTTCTCTCATTTCCCTTCATATAGAAATGAAGTGACAATGCTGCAAACGGGCGAATTCTAGAAGACCCGCTCCCCTGCTTTGCACAGTCTCTCTGTTGTTTCTATACTGCACAGACAAACCTTCTCATATAGTTGCTTTCAAGCATCTTGGAAACCAGGTGTGGTTTATTTGTAAGGTTTGAATTTCCACTTTCAATTTTTGGGAGAAATCCCATCCAAATTCTTGTCTGATTTTGAAGCCGTTAGGAAAAATCCAAATAATCAGCATCTAAGTTACAGCCAAAATAATCTATGGTCGTTTGCTGTAACTTTAAACCTTGAGATATTGAATAAATACTTCCACATGAATATTTGAAGTACTTCCTCACTACCCAGCTACCTGCATGCTGGAAAGGAGGAGTTTCCCTTGTCTAGACGGGTGTTTTTAACTGAATGTTATTGTACAGCAAGGTGCTCAACTTGAAGCAGGGATTGCAGGATGCTGCCTGCAAAAACCTAGATGACATAATTGTAATATAGGCACAGCAGTAGCTCTGACTGTGTCACGGCAATCCAGCTTCACAAAGAAAAAGCAGCCTCTCTGCCCCAGAGATCCTTTGCATCCAAAAAAGTAAGAATCCAGCTCCTTTCCCATGGGCTGCTTCCTCTGTATCTTCTGCTCCCTGCTGACCTTTCCACAGTGACTTTCCTCTCAGGAATCTTTTCTCTGCAGTCTTTTCTGGTAGCTGCTCATTTAAGCTTATGAAAGACCCTTTTTACATCTGCCACCTGCTCCTTTCTCCTGGCTGGCAAATATTAGCTCACCTCTTACTCTGTTTTCCCTGTTCTTTTTCCTGAGGAGGTGTGGATATCTAAAATACAGATACCAGCTGCTGCAGATATCTGAATTCAGGTAACTAGTGCATTCAGCTTTCTTCAAAGTGTGCTGTTCTTGGGTTCCCTGGCACCGCAGAACAGTCCAGCTCTGTTATTTCTGTCCTATAGCAATAAGAACAGAGGAATACACTGAACAAATCCATTCCCCTGATGGAGATCTTTCTGTGACCAGAAAAGTCTATGGTCATAATCAGAATGAGTATTTGAAATCCTTTCTTATTCAGCTGTTCTTTGTGTATCTTGTTCTTTTGCTGTCTGCACCTGAGAGCTATTAATGCCAGTGTTGTCAGAGAGATGCACCGGGTTTTGTTCTTCCTCGCCAGCACGGCAGGTTCTGATCCAGAGCAGGCATTAGAGAAAAAACTTGTATTTTGGTGCCCCCTATTCTGTGCCCCCTTACAGAAATAATAAACGTGTAATCTCAAAAGATTTTTTTTATAATTTCCACAAATAAATAAACAAATACAAAACTGGAAATGACACAAAATTCAATTTGATTTTATTAAAATTGAATTTGAATTTCTGATTACATAAGGGCTGCACTGGAAATGCACCAAGGGCCCAAGAGCCACACCTTGATGTGTCTATTAAATTGTATTGTGAACAGAAGTGCGCAGCTGTAATTGCTTGTATTTATTTTTCGTTGTGAAGAACAGAACTGGCTTAGATTGAGATTTTGTGAAAAAAACCTTTTGGAGGTCGGGCTTGTTTGCTATAGTAGGAAGGCAAGGCTGGAAAGTCTCCTGTGTGATTATGAAGCAAATGTTACAGTTTCACAGGCTTGTTTGTCCCTGGGGTGGTGCCCTGGTTCCACTGAGTTAGCATATTTGTTGCTAGCGGTGCTGTGGGAGAGACAGTGCTTGGGTTAATCACATCTCAGGCTGCAACTGGAAGTTAAAAGAAAAGAAACCATTTTTTTGACTTGTGACCTGAAAGCAAATGTAGATCTGAAAGTAAATGTCAACCCTGAGGGCTACTGTTCTCATGGGTTTCTGCTATAGTCCCACTTCAGGCAAGCTTACTACAGTCATTTCCTTTTCTTTTTGTGCCTGTCTTGCCCATTTGTTCAGCTCTGTGTGTAAAAAGGGATGAGAGGTATCATGTCTAACCAGTTCTACAGCAAATTCAGGTCTGTGATTGAGAAACGCAAAGTCCGAGCAAGTGTCTAATTCAAGCCCCTGTTTTTTGGGGAGATATTAAGAATCATAGGAAAGTAGGACTGGAAGGGACCTTACAAGGTCATTGTAACAGGGAGCGACTTCTGTAATTTTCAGGGCAGAGTGGCAGGCCAAGCTTGTTCTGGGGGGTTGGCAGCTGGACAAAGGCTAGCTGACAGAAAGCAAGCAAGCCAGAGACTACATGGGTAGGAGCTCCTACTGGGAGAAGTGACCATGCTGGAGCTAGCTGCACTGCAATAAGTCACCACCCAGGGACAAACCTCCAGGCAGCACAGCAGTAAAGACTGAAAACAGCTGGCCTAAGCTGCAGCAGAGGAGGGCAGGCTGGTCATCAAGTCAAAATGGAAACTCCTGTGTGGCTGAAAAAGAGACTTGACAGGAAGGGGCTAGGCTTTGGTGGCCACTTAAACCCAGAGCCTGAGACCAAGTGGGGCAAGCAGTTTGGCTATGCATGCCCCAAAGAGAGGAGCTCCTGAGGGCGATGGCTGCAGGAGACAGATTAGCATGCACCTGAGCTGTCCCACAGAGTGGAGGAGAGAGTTAACTGGGGCTTATGGCTTGCAGTGAGGTAGCGACCCAGAGTGGGGTAGATTTTAGTTGTAAAGCAGTTTGCTTGTATTTATGTTGTGATTAAGCTTGGGAACCAGAGGACTGATTTGTGGCTGTAGCGGAGGATGGAGGGATGCCTAGTGGGGCACTGTGACAGGCAGTCTAGCTTGGGGTCAGGGATCCAGAGGGCTGAGGGCTGGTGGAGACGTATAGCAGCTGTGCTTGGGGTCAGAGGCTCAGAGGGCTGGAGGAGTTAAGCCAAGGCTGAGAGGGCAAAGGTCATGGAAGTGAGATGAAAGCCAGGGAAGAGCTGAAGGCAGAACAGGCTTAGGCTAGGTGGGCTAAAGCCTGGTGAAAGGGGCTGAAGGCCCAAGAAGGGCAAAAGCTGAACTAGGGCTAGGGGCCTGGGGAGTAGTGAGAGCCTGGCCAGGGGCCTGGCAAGTTGAGTGGGTTGTTGGATGGATGGGGCTAGAGGGCCCACTGGATGAAGCCAAAGTGACACCTACAAGGCATGGACATGGCAATAGGGGAGGTTCGAAGGCCAAATATAGGTGACTAGTGCTCTTGGGCACTGATGGGGCCAGAAGGGCTGCAATTTAATGGCCAAGAGACAAGGCAGGTGCTAGCTGAGTATGGGAAGAACCAGCCAGCTGAGGAACAGAGGCTCACTTTGGGACTCTGTGGCAGCCTTCCTAAACACTAACAGGTGCATCAAGGCATGGCAGATGAGAAAAAAGGGCGGGTACCTTGAGGAGCTGGAGTGGGACAGGAGGCACTTGATCACCAGGGATTGCATGGCTGCCCCTGGGGCTGGGTCCTATTAGTCATTTAGTGCAGCCCCCTACTCAAGGCAGGATCGTCCCTGACTAAACCATCCCAGCCAAGTGTCTGTCCGACCTCCTCGAAAACTTCCAAGAATGAAGACTCCACAACCCCTCTGGAGCCTGTTCCAGCCCTCAGGCCCAGCAGGTTTCTTCTAATCTCCAGTGTAAATTTGCTCTGCTGCAGCTTGAGACCATTGTTTTTAGTCCTGTCCCCTAACTGATGCTTACATTAGGTGGTGACCTTCTGTAATAGGGGACCCGCCCTCATTACTGAGGAAGAGACATGAGGTCTTTTAAACAGACTACATTGCATTGGGGCCAGAGGAAAAGAGCTGTGTAAGAGGAGGTGCCAAGAAGGAGTTCTGCCGGGAGACTCTCACAGGGAGGTAAGTTAGGCGTTTATATTTCTGTTAGGGGTTTGTATTAGCCACAAGGCATAGAAGTGGCTGAAGGGGAGGCAGGAGGCCACAGTGGGTGTCTGGATTGTGACTAGTGGGTGGGGTGCATAGCAAACTGTTGGAGAAGGCAAGAAAACACAGCAGATGGTTATAGGGGGTAAGAGCCATCTCCATCTATATACAGCAAAGCATAGCACCCTGATTCTTTGAAGGCAGCCTCCCAACATTTGTAATAACATCAGAAGGCAAAAGCATGGCAGCCAAGAGTTGGGGAAGTGACTGCTGGGGTGGCCCAAAGTGCTTAAGTAGGTCTCAGCAGGCTGCTGGAGGGCGTAAAACGAAATGGGGAAACTAAGGCCTCTTACACTTTCCTTATGATGCCAGTGGAAATCAGCTCGTCTGGCTGGGTACTTGGACAGCAATCAAAAAAACCATTCCCCTAAAGAAAATCCATTTTAGTGAACTCTTTAAACACTGTGTTTCACTCAAGTAGAAGCTCTACGAATAAATAAGGCCCCTGGAGTTCTGCAGATAATAATGGATTCTAGAACCAGCTTAAATGTAATTATTATGGCCACAGAGCTCATTCAGCCTGGCAGCAGGACCTGATACTGAATAGAGATGTTTTATAACAACCTTTGTATGTTATAAAGGTATGTTAACACTATACACCAGGGGAGCTCATCATTAATGCTGATAAACTCTCTCTAAGCTAATAGACACCTTTGCTCTTTCTGAATATTTTCTCTTTCAGATACTGAACATATGGCTCATTATAGGCCAAATGTACTTAGTACACATGGCTCTCACTGAAGTCCATGAGTTGTGAATATGTAAGTCTGGGGAGACGCTGATTGTTTGTCTTCATACCCGAGGCAGAATGCTGGACAGACATTTTCAAAACTCTGAAGAGTCAGCTTAGTAATTTATAACTTTTCCAAACCCTTACCTTTCAAATTCAGATTTGGTATATTTGGTCTCAGACTGTGAATGTTTGCAAAGTAAATTTTAAGAATGTTTGAAGTCAACCTGAAATTACTTTAAGAAAAAAGGTACTGGGAAAAGTTTGGCACTGGCATCCATGCTTTGAGAAACCTCTGAATCCAAAGTCCAATTCTATTGTATAGCCTCCTTGAAGTACAGTCTTGCTATGAAGAACAACTATATAAAAATGGCACCGTCTTACTCCAGGGACCTGTCCCTTTTGTGTATCCGATCTGCTGATGGTTAATACCAAAAGTAAGTATCTATTGTGCTTCCTCTGGTGAGCACTGCAGGATTAGCAGGAGGAGGGTTGTGAATCTAAACTTTTCATGTAAATGATCCACAAAGTTTTTTACTTAAACTGTACTAATACAACATGTGGGCAAAGTGGCCTTGTCTAAGACTGGGAAAATCTACTGAGTTAGGATTTGAAAGCATGTTAACCATCACATTTTAACATGAGGTTAAAAGCAGTTTAGCATCCACTGTTAACTGTTCATTAACCTATACTAGCTAATACAGTATATTTCAAATGACTTTTCCATGTCTAGGAAGCCGATTTAGAGATTTTAGGATCACATGGGCAAAAGCGAGACTCTGTGTGGTGGTGATATAATGACTTCTCTCAATCCAAGACTGAGTTTGCAGTTAGGAAAACCGAGCTCATGATTGAGAGGGCAGCTCTTACAGCCACTTCTCAGAGTAGAAATGTCCTTCTAGGACAGGCAGTGCTTTCTTTTTTTTGGCACAGCACCCGCCCTGGCCTCACACTGGCAGTGTTGGATCACTTGTCTGGTTTCATGCCACATCTTGACCACACTCACCCCAAACACATTTTGAGGCTCAAGGCCAGGGAAGGCTTTCATGCCTTCTATTAGAGAAATACTGCCAGTGGGGACAGGCAAATTACACCCACAGCACTCAAGCATTAGGCTCACAGCAGTTTTTTGCTTTGTTTTTGTTTTGTACTATGCAGTAACTGGTTATTAATATACTATTGCTGTGTCTCTTGGGGAAAGACAATGCAAGTAGAAGAAGATGCCCTAGCAAAACCTTTAGTTAAAACTGAATCTATTTTGGCACTGTAAGTACACCAAAGTAGGACACCCTGGATACAGATGACTGACTCACCGTCATGCCACCCTACCTGTTAAATATGGAAATGGTATAATGTCATTGCTGTACCTTTCTGCAGGAACAGAAAGGTACTGACTTCATGTTCCAAACTGTTTTGTGCCAGAATCATGACATGGGGGTCTAAGTTGGAGATGAAGATCGTTTCATTGTGCTGCACAGAATTCAGGGCACTCCAGTGTTATTGCCACAAGCGCCAGGACCCAGCCCCCCTTGAGCTCAGGCTATGAGCATTTTTCCATCCACTACCAGAACAAATCAACATTTCAGTTTTCCCCAGTGTGTTTCTGTAACTTCAGTTTCATGGCTCTTGCAGGTAGTGCCTTAATACCAGCTTCTAGCTCTTATTTTTTCTCTCTCTTGAGGTGGGAAATTACTGAAGCACTGAGGCTCCAGCTGTCTGGTTTTTCTACTCTCCACACAGCAGCAGAGAAAATGAGAATGTGACCATGTCCAAGCCATGTAACAGGTAGCTCTTCGGGAGCTGCAGATTACAAACTCTAACCCTTGTTTTGTTAGGGGGCAAACAGAAGTGCAGCTCCCAGCTGTAACTGGGAAGGTTTCCTGCAAAGTGTTCTGAGTTACGTCCTTACTGCAGACCAAACAGAAGTTCACTGTTGGTTCCAGGGGGTAGAAAATCTAGCTGCATGTTGGGAACCTGCAGCCAGGGTCCCATAGTGCTGTGGGGTGGGGGAGGCCATGTAAGTGTGCTCCAGGGTGAAAAAGATTAGGAAATGCTTCAAAAGCAATGGCTGTGGCTCTGCCAGCGCTTGCTGTTTCCACAATGGGTGGGGGGAAAGGCAACAGAGGGAGCTCATATTTGGGGCTACCCAGCTGGTGCTGCAGGGTGGGGTGGGTGAATTGGAACCTCTCACCTTGGGGGGTAGAGGGGCTCCAATACACCTGCCTCACCCCCCAGGGGGCCTGAA